AGTCTAACACATCTTTTCAGTCTTTAGATATTCTACAGAGAAAAAATTTCATTGTAATCTAAGATCTAATGACTTTAAATTATTAATCCTCAACTTACCTTACTGATGCAGCACTATACATTCATCACCTGCATATCTCTCAATTGATTTTATACGCAAGAGCAAGTATGAATAACTGAGAACAAATTATGAACAATTTCTAAAACGAGGTACGTTATTGACAAACAAGTTGATATCAACTGTCTGGTTAAAGGTTATCATTTCTTAGGTTCTATGGTCGAAACAATGACCCTGTCAGCAAACATAATCTACATGTACATGTATCATTAAGTCAAATGCTGACTGACAGTTTTCATACTTTTTGTTAGGTCATTGTCTACACAATGAATTATCGACGGATTTTTCCGTTATTTCCCGATCATGACAAAAACACATGGTGAGTGTGATCGGTTGACAGGGTATGCTCACTCTTCCATGGCACCTGATCCCAACTCTGATGTTTTAAGAGGTACTTGTGGCTCTAATCCTGATATGAATTGTTTAATGGCCTTTTGAGTTTGTTCGTTATCTCAATATATTTCATATAAAGAGACTACAGTCTCAAACATTGCAATTATATTGTCTACAGGTTGGCTTAAATGCTTAAGTTATAAGTCTACAGAATCCATTGGTTTTGTAATATGATCTTTGAAAATTCAGATTCTAAGCTATAAACTCTTGACACTAACTTAATAAGCAATGTCTACAAACCCAAAATGTTTGAGCAATATACTCTACACAATTTTCAAATTATGAGATGGCACTTGATTCTTCATCTGGTGTTTTAAAAGGAATGTGTTTGCTATGCCCTCCGATCTGTACTGTTTAAATGAACTTTTAGCATGAACATTTTCGTTATCTCTGTTTATTTCATATACATGCATTTGTCAATTATCGCCATATTTGAATATTCGATCCTCAGCCAGGAAGGACAACTCTTTAATTTATAATTCTTTTCAAAAAGTCTCGGGAAAAAATCTTGAAATCGAAATCTAATATATAATAAACTAAAATTAAATTCAACAAAAAAATAAGAGAGAAAATGAGAAATCCAAGTCAAAATACACTACAACAGAAGAAAAGTTGTCTTGAAATGCCTTTCAATTTAACATTTAGATATATCAACAACGTGTTATAAATTACTTCAAACTTTGTATCTCTATTTATTTTTACTGTATTTCTACGTAGATGCATTATACACTGTATCCCATTGAGCTATAAATGAAAAACACAACAAAGTCTGACACATCTGAATATTTTATAGAAAATGATATCGATTGGAAACAAGCAATTAAACATTTTGATAAAGAATAACCTTCCTGTCGTGTACCTCCGTTATTTGGAAGGAATATACCGTATAAGTGGAAATTGTAGCGAGACGGAAAATTAGCGATTTGTCCTTAAAATTGGGTATTTTATTTTTAGCGAGACGTGATATTAGCGATTTTGAAATGCTTACTTAAGAAACTATAACAACTAAAAACACAATTATTTTTTTAGCGATATTTAATTTTAGCGATCTCGGCACCCTCGCTAATACAGCCAAAATTAAATCCTCACTGAAAATTCTGTATCGCAAAAGGTGTTAATGCCCTAGTTGATTCAGTACGCAACATGGTATGGCTAGTGCTACGATAAATATCTAAAACGAGACAAACTACTGACAAGTCAGTTGATAATAAATGTACAAGAATAACAATAATCTCGATTAAATACATAATTTTCAAATTCTATGGTCGATACAATGTCTATGTTTGCTATTAAAATTTATCGCTAAGTCGAATGTTGACTGAAATATTTCGCGAAAATTATTAAAGTCTTCTATGTTTACAGTGGACCTTATGGTGATTCAAATGCTCTCTTTTCTTAGTATTTTGCCAAATGTTGTACACGTGGTATCCAGAAAATTAATCAGAGGATTTTCTAGAAATTCATGAGTATGGCATTATTGTGATTTTTCCCCAAAAGATAAATTTCAAAGATAACATCCGGTTCCAGTTTTCAATTTCTGATTTTGAAAAAAGTCAGTGCCTTTTCTAAAGCACAGGGTACACTTCATCATAAGTAGATAAGCAATTACTATTTTTAAAAGTGTCGTCATACCTTCAGTAGTCAGTGGAAGCAAATCTAAAACTTTAGGGATACAAAAAATCATTTTCTGTGATACTGGTAAGGAGACCAATATTCCATTCTCATAATGACATTTTTCTCAGTTTTCCAGCTCTCATTCTTGTTTTATTAATCAAATAACGCGAGGTATATATGCACAGCCAATGAGTCACATGGTCTTAATAATTAAAATTCAGACTTTTAAATGTTTTGGGAAAAAAAAACATTGAATTTAAGTATATAAACATAAAGTAAGAGATTAGAGGCAGCATGATATAGACGCGTTAGCATTAATGCATGTACGTTGGCTTTTTTCTAATTGGCTGACAAAAAAGTTATCAAACAGTGTCATCGAATAAGGATTGGGCAAATCATATTTATAATTTTCAAGTGATGATAATTTAAAAGAGCATGCTAAATTTATACTATTGATCAAAGCTCTTTTTACCCTTGAGACAATTTCAGGTGCTCTAATCGAAGTGCTTTTTCTATTATTGCATACCTTTTACCAGCTTAAGGTCATCCATCAGGAAGCAGTCTAATTATCTTTTGTAAAGCACCAGGATATCCTTGAACAGTAAACAATATCAGGCGTTTCCCACGATATAACTATTAATGATCGTCTATTCTCCCGGGTAATTTTTAAAGACAATAGGCTAAAATCCAATTAGTTTGTAAGTTAAAAACCATATGCATTTATTTGAGCAAAGATTAATTTCAAATGTCCTTTAAGAGTACCTTTCAATTTAGGTTGATAGAAAAAGTACATGTTCATTTGAATTTTACACATTTAAAGGTATTGAAATTTTTATGAAGAGTTATACATGGAATTGTTTATCTTTATACAGCGTACATTCTCTAGTCATGGAAACCTTTAGCCATGTGCATGATGTATAAATTATAGATTTTCCTCTTACCAAAACAACCCACAAGATTATCACCCTAATTTACGTCCTGAAATTTTCATGTTCACGAAGTTCATTCTTGCCTCTGATAAAGTTTTAAATGGTTTCTGTTGAATCAACACTGGGAGGGGAGGTATTAAAATAGATAATATCAGGGCATACTAGTATAATGAGCACACAGGCAATAAATCCTTTCAAATATCATGCAAAATTTATCAAGTCAGTGAAAAATTTCAATATGATAAACCTATTCTTTTGAAAAATGATTAACCTTACTTATACATAAGCTCATCAGTTTTGTCTGATGCAAGATAAGCAGTAAAGAAGCATCAGTGAATAATCCCATATAAATTTTCACAAAAAATGACCAGCATTTCTGTTATTTGGTTTCTTTAAAGATGTTTATATGTATTTTGCTATACGAAAAACCAAATACCTTTCTGCTAGAAATGAATTGGTGAAAATCTAAAGCACGATCATTTGACTTTGTCAGACTGAGAATTTCATCTGTTTAGGGAAATATTACTTTGACATTTTCAAAATAAAAAATACAATGGAACTATCTGAACACCCCTAAGACATCATGGAAATATCATCAATCATCGTATGTTATTACTATGGATAGGAATCTGATGCTATCCATATTATTTCCATTGGGTGAATTGTCTATGCCGGTGACCAAATCAACTGATTATTGTTATTATATGTCCTGACCCATTTATTTTCCATTATTATTTCTTGATTGTATTTATTAATCATGAATTAGAATTTTATTGCTTTAATAAATTCATGTCTTAAAAATAAACAAATCTTGTCATTTAATAAAGGTATGTCTCAAGAAAAAGAGGACCCACACATGTTTTTGCAACACCCAAGACCGGGTAACGTTACATATGAAATCGAGGGAAAATATTTTGTCCATAACATAAACAATTTCCTTTACACCAATTTATCATAATTGTAAATGTTAAAATAATAATCAGTGTGCAGTATTTGATTGTTATAGTACACGGCAACAATAAATAATTAGTTATACTCATCAAATACAAAAAGCATATCAATACCACGAATAAGAAGGAAATAGCTTAAAAGTTAAAAGTAAGTTATCAATCAGCGTACGATCACATGGAAATATTATTAACATTATGACAGTAATATGTTAAATCCAATGGGGCATGGACGCATTCTGTGTTATTACCATTGTATTAAGAATATCTATTTCTACATTTAAAACTTATATGAAGATTCTTTACACACATGTACATTGACGAGAGCATTTTTCATTTGTCATTTCACCAAATACATAGTTTTTTTAAAAATAGAACGGGCTCCACTAAGTGTTCGATTTGTTAAAACTTGTACATCGTTGACCAGAAAGTGAGAATACTGGACTTTTGAGAGGAGCGCTGACTTTTACAGTCGGTGGCTTACTTTTATTCTTGGACAATATACGGAAGCCATTTTCCAATAAAAAATACTTAGCTCAACATTTATTTAAACGAAAATAACGGACTGAAATAAAGCACATATAAGTTGCCCATGAAGAATCAGGCAGCCACCCTTCCCTAAAATACCACCTTAACATGTTAGTGCCTAAAACACCATACTTATGACCACTAGATAGGTTTTTTTGTCTATTATTATTTTGAAATCTCTTGGTCCTCTTGGTTAAAAAAAATTAGTACAATTTTTTATACATTCAGATTTCCAAATGTTGTGAAAATGTACGGATGGATAACAATAATAACGTCAAATTTATATAATTTTCGAGAAGTTTCTTCTAATTAATACGAGGGTGATAAAAAGGTTTGCGAACTATCACTATATTTACAAAACCACATGTTAATATCAGAATGAAATTAGGCTAATGCAGAATCATACATATGTTGTATACAAGCATATGCGACGAAACGTTTTGTTTCATGTTTGTGATGTCACCCTGTGAAAATGACGTCAATATGTAAATATGTCAATGTAAATTACTTGTTATAAAAATGGTTAATCAAGTCGTATTCTAGCAAGAACGGCTGTAAAATTAAACATATATCTTGAAAATCCTTTTGCAGTGGTATATAATAATGTGTACATGGTTTATGAGCACAAAAAACTTGCCAAAAGTTAAGTCATTTATTGAATTGATTGTTTGAATGAATTAAGGAAGAGATAGTTTTAAAAATGATGTTTGATCTGTTGCTCATTGAAAGCAAGCTAGAGAAGAGATGTGTCCTTTGTTCAGCTATATGAAATGAAAGATCACATACTTACATTTAGAAAAATTTGAATATCTTAACAATGATTATTGAATTCCTAACATATCGTTACTTTAGACTTTAAAGATATCAGATATGGTAAACTAGAGGCACCAGTACTTTAACCACATTGAAAAAACTATAGTCAAAAACAGAAGACTATGTTTATGATGGTCACCATGCTCATTCTAGAAAAGGATATCCTTATCCACCCACACTGTTGCCGAGATTTGGCAATTTCTTACAAGTGGGATATTTCTGTTTTAAAATATATCTTGCACCTGGTAAGAGATAAATGAGTCGAAAAATTTTAAGCTTCTGTGACAAAACGCTACGGAGCATGTCACGTGATCGCCAAGATCACGTAATTCGCACATGGCCGAACGGTTCCCTTTTCGCAATGAAATCGGAAAGGACTACTTAAAAAATAAATTTAACCCTAAATCATTTCTTAAATGGAAGTTATTAAATTAAATCGCAAACTTTTTGATCATTCCTCTTATGTTGGTCTGGATTGATAATGCAGTATGTTAAGAACGAAATTTCTCGCACCAATTGATACGATTACAACCCTCAAAGTTTTTAAACATTCTGAAAGTTAACTGTATTGATGTGAAAGAAACTCGTGTTCTGTAAATCACATCCCTTTTCCATCTTGCATTCAAAGGGCAACAAAACAAACATAATTTTTAAACATATCGCTTCCTTCACTCAAACAATCAACTCAATTAATGACTTAACTTCTGGCAAGCCTCTGGAAAGTTTTCTTAACGCAAAGGTCTACATTGTAAACCATTTCAAAATATTAGTTAACTTTCACATGTTATGCTTAATTATATTGTAAAATTAATTTAATAAAAACGTTTCCACTAAAAAAAAATTTATGTACATTCCTCGTTTTGTCTGAGAAATAAAATTTTGAAAGATATTTCTCCAAATGAAAATTGATCAATCAATTTGTGTATTAACGCGCACCCTTGGCGATGGTCTAAACAGATTAAATATATTCCGATACATGGCTTTCAAGTGAGCTTGGATGATGAATACATCAGACACGAAGATGATCATGAAAACTAATCCAAGAAGACAACCTCCCAGAATTCCTATTCCTTTTGATGACTTCCGGAAGTCAGTTGCACTCTCTTTCTTACGGATACTTGACGAGAGGTTCTGAACTGCCACCTCTCCTGCAGATCTAGCTTTTTGCAGCACTGGTCTCATGATGTTCAGCACTTCTTCCGGTGGGTAGTCGTTCAGAAATTCCCACTTACTTTTCTTGGGTTCCTCCTTGTCTGTAAAACCAGATATTTAAATTGTGTGAATCTATATGCAGGATATATATCATATCATCAGATAATTTTAAATCGCAGAAATCCACCGATATTTAAAGAAAATATTAACCATAGGCGTCGAAACCAGGGGGATGGGGCGTTTTTTTTTCTGCAATGATATGTAGGCATTAAAGATTGGGGCGTAGGTTTAGCCCGCCCCCAGCACTTTCAACAGCCACGGTACAGTGTAGTCAAAGAAGGGTAAGTGGTAATATTTTTTGGAAAAAATTGTTTTGAAAAAAGTCCTAACCTACCCTTCAAGCCCCCCCCCCCCCCGAAATAGAATTTTTGGGTTTCGACAGTGGTCAAATTTTCCCTTTTTTTTTGTCTGTTTGTTTGTTTGTTTTGTTTTGTTGAATTTTTTCCCTTTGAATTAGCCCCCCCCCCCCTCACCTTCACTTCCAAATTTGCTACCGACGCCAATGTTTACTTCCTCAAGCAGTATGCTCATTAGTAACAAATCCATGCACATAGCTCGTTTGTTACTGGTTTATATAGAATTGAGTATTACAATCATTGCTCTATATTGCTAGTTATAAATACAAAATTGAACCTCCATTGAATCATTTTATAATTTATTTTTTTTTATTCCGTGCGTAAACTTAGACGTTGCATGAAATAATAAAAACTTATTGAGCATACATACGATAAAATCCTAGAACAGCGATACGATCTACCATTAACAACGCATCCTCTGGAAATGAAAGATATGACTAATATTGTCACATTAACTCAAGATCACCAAAAAGGTGTGTGCAAACAAATTGAGTAACGTAAAAATTTGTAAGCCGACACCGTTGCAGTTATGAGACTATATCTTTCCAAAAATAATGATTCAATGCTAATACATGTAAATGTATTTATTTTTTCAAACTCCTTGTCATGACTTCAAATATGATTTATAAAGTTATGTAATTCAAAACGTCTCTTTTATCCTGTGGGTAAAAAACAATTAATGGAAGAGTCATTGAAACAATATCTGTTTAATGTGAGCATGAAGTTGGATTTTCGCTTATGACCTTTCACGGATTACAACAAGTGCGGAGCATAGGCCTAAATTTGCAGCCCTTCACCGGCAATGGTGACGTCTCCATATCAGTGAAATATTCTGGAGAGGGACGTTAAACAGTATTCAATCAATCATACAACATTTGTGACGACAAAAACGCACTATTTGACCTTTTGATCATTTTTCCGTGATATGATATATCTTAAATGTAGTAATTTTCCACACATTTTATAAGCAAAATAAATATGGAAAATAAAAATTATTTGATAAGTGGAATATGGAGATATTATTATAAACTTTTTCTTATTTGCATTAGATTTACCTGCTTGTTCATACAAAGTTAATATTTTCCCATTTAGATTCTCGCCTACGTTTAAAGTCAATTTTTGAGCTCGATAGCAGGTTCCAAACCATTTCATACCAATGTCATTGGAAAGGTCAATCTGAAACGAGATTTTTTAAAATTTATTATTTTATAACCTCTTGAATAAAACAGGAAACATTTCCACTACTACAGAAATTATTAATAGATTTGGATTTTTCAATTTTCAAAATATCAATAAAAAGTAAATCAAATAAAATTTCATTCAATGAAATGATTATAATATGTTTATCTACTTTAATTCTCAAGATCATTATCTGAGTAAGTAAAAGTAACATAATGTAATCTTGTGTAGTCTTGAAAACAAAACAAATTCTTACAGGGAAAGTCTCCCCATCGCTGTCTGCAATGATCATCTCTATTTTGGTTGTTTTATTTGTTATACTTGTCAAATTAATTCCACAAATTATCTTTTCTTCCCTGAAGTTAGCGACGTACTGAAATGAACTTCCATGCTAAAAAAAATCTTCATTGAATTTTATATTTTGTTTTTCAAGAATAAAAGTCCAATCTTTAATTTAACCGATTTAAACAAAAGATATTAAAATATATTTAATAAAACTTGTCGAAGAAGTAAACATTACTTGTCAACGACATTTATGTCATGGTATTTACTGTTTTAAAGCAATATTTTCACATAATTAAAACAAATTAACAATATTAAGATATTACAGATTGAAAGATTTCAAAAAAATTATATGACTGATTTTTAAACGATTTTTAAACTGATAAGTAGATATACTTTTTTTTGACATGATAAAGTGAAGCTCTTAAATAATGGGTATTAAAAAATTAATTATTACATCTCATCTCTTGCCCACTAAGCACGGCCCACATCTATAGAGATAACCATTTAGAGAATATAGAACTCATATGCAACATCAAAAGAAAGAATGGTCGACATAAATTTCAACAGAATTCTCAGGACAAGAAATTCCCAAGCTTTTAACTATACACTAAATATATTACTCACAATACTGTCATTGTAGCCTGGAGGACCGGGCTGCTCTATAAATATAAGTTTAAGTGTTGGTGTATGGGGATTGAGGTGGGAGAAGTTATTCAGAATTAAAGGTTTTCTTAACATTAAAAAGATTGTTAATCGGAATGTTCTTTCTCTTTATAAATTACGAGATACATAATATATTTACTTCCATAAAGTGAATCTGTAAAAATATATGTGTTTTTCATATTTAATATATAAAGTTGCTTATCATTTACTATCGAAAAAACGACAGGCCCCTTTTTTTAGAACATCGAATTTTACTTTTCGCATAAAAACGTACTGTACATAGTTCGTGTTTTATATTCTTAAAGTGAAATACATTTTTGAAAATAGGTGATACATAAGTCTAGTTTCAATTTATATATTATGCAGCCAACATTTACTTGAGAAATTGATTAAGTTTAAAAAGGGTATCGTTTTTGTTGGATTCTTATCCGACTGTAAGTTTTCAAAGTATTCTCTTTTATCGTCTCCATCATTTAGACGCATGTCTTTTTCACACATATCGAAGCGGTGTGATGATCAAGACTCATTTCCACTGTTTACTTTATTTATTTCCCGGGCGACAATTGATGGTTACATCAATGTTTTCTTGTTGATACTGTGGCACGGGAGGGGGAGAGATGTTAAAATTGATAAATACAACATAGATGCTGAAACATGAAAGTAAAAGTAAAATTCTCAAAATCACTCTGAAATTACCCTCGGCTCAATTAAAAATGTTTCCACTATATTTCACTGTATTTAATAAATTGTTATAATGGTGAACAGAATAGTGTAAAAAAAAAAAAAAAAAAAAAAAAACAAACAAACAAACAAAAAAAAAAAACAAGAACAACATCGTTCTATACACAATGAAACCGAAGGGTACCAAAATTCAGTGATATTGAAATCAATTTAGATAAGCAATATACAGTTATTGACTGGGTATGAGGGCAACATATGATTTGTTGGACCTGAAGGTGAAAATGTTGCCCGAGGCAACAGGTCCAACAAATCATATGTTGCCCGAATCCCACACTATATTATCAATTACATTATATGGAATATTATGGCTTAATTAGTAAATATAAAACAATAGCTGAGAAAGAACAAAATTAATTATTTTTTTATTTTATCATAAAAACTGTTTATCACAAAATATACTCTTCTCTTTTTCCTTACCTTGCTGGTAGCAACAACACTTACAGCTCTTTAACTTCGCCTATTTCCGTGTCGCCGATATTGAACGATGATTAATTACTTGTGACGTAGCAGTGACGTTGCGGTCTAACAATTCTTATGTTGGACCGGCAGGCCGGTCAACAGTGAAATTGTTAGACCGATGTAATAAACATTTCTTTTGTTGGACTTTTTATTAGTAATAAATATATAGAAAGCTATTTATAAGGGTATAGCAAAGAAATGTGTAATCTGACTTCGAAATTGTAATTGATTATAAGACATTAAGAGTCATTCTCTGTAAGAATCAAAGAATTTAGAAAAAAAGTTGGAAATGGTAGATCACAGATTTTGCTGATTTTTTGCATGCAATGTAGAAACACCATGTATAGAACATTTTTGGGGATAATTTTTTATTTTGAGTTCCGGTTGCCATGGTAACCAAAACCACCATTTTGAGGCCAAAAATACAGAGCAACCTACTGAAAGTATACAATCTTCATCATAAATTTCTATTTTCTGCATTTTATTTACAGATTTAATTGTTGCCTACTCTGATAGAATATTTGTTGGAGTAACTACCACATCTGATGAAATTATTCAGTAGTTGGTCATAAAAGAGTTGTCTTTCAGTAAAAAGTGTGAATTTTTCAAATTTTAACAAATTTGAAAAAATGCCAATTTTTGGCATTTTCTAAGCCTAGTAGCAAGAAAACGCGGGCAATCCATAACAAACAACTACCATCACTAAAAAGGTCATTCCTTACTCAACAAACTATAAAATTTCTAGAGTGGTAATATTTCTTACAATAAAATAAAACGAAAATGAATAAAACGGTTGCTATGGAGATTTTGGATTAATTTGTAGATTCAACATTTGGCTCCTTTTTGTACATTATAGCTTTAAAAAAATCAAAAGTAAAACAAATCACACTATTAAACCTCATAATTTTAAAATAAAATGATAAAAATGTAAGTTCATCAATTAAACAAAAAAACTGTGTTACTACAGCAACCAAAAAGTCAGGAAAAATCACTGTAGCTATTGACGTTTTCATTATGCAGAATCTGTGGCCTCAGTGCATTATTTAATTTCTTCAATAAATAGATAACACTTATTATATTTGTTAATTCACTTATGTACATTTAAGAAAAAATAACAAATAAAAATTCAAGCTCTAAAATCATGTTGCTATGGTAACCAAACAGTTTTTGAACACTTCCTTATAACGGTTGCTATCACAATTTTTGTGATACTGACAAGTATACAACAGATATCATAAAAGCTTCATTCATGATTTTTTCTCTTTTTCAATAAAATAAATAGAATTTAATTGTATTTCACTAAATATCAAAATACATGTTGTAATAAATAATTTAATTTTAAAAAACGGTTGCTATGGCAGCCAATAGTTCAGGAAAATCCTTATCATTGATATGTTTAATATACAAAATCTACTGCTTTATTGCCTGATTATATTTCTTCCTCAATGAAATAAATTCCACAAACCATGTAAACCTTGTCATTTCACTTATACATAAAAATAGACATTCATAATTAAAATAAAAAGTTGCTATGGTAACCAAATAATTCAGGAATAATCCTAATAATTATTGATGTACCAGTATACAAAACTCGTAGAACTGCCACCAGTGTTTGATTATAATTTTTATTTAGCGGGACAAAAAACAGATGAACTCAAACTTAAACTGATCACATTTATCTGAATTACTGCGGCAGGATTTGTTTCCATGGAAAGAATAAATACCTACTTAAAATCATGACCCATCTATTGGAAGCAACTTGCTTTATTAATCGAAACTTATATACACATGTTTTAACCTGTACATGCACTTCTTAGTTTAAGTAGGACAAGCACATAGTCAAGAGTGCCCCTCCCTCCTCGATTCAACTTGTTTTTGATGTTATTCAAATGATATTTTGCAGTTCCTATTATTATTATTATACCACCGCTACGAAGGAGAGGGCGGTATACTGATTTACCTTTGTGTGTCAGTCCGTTCGTCTGTCTGTCTGCCTGAGTGTGTATGTAGCAAATGTTTGGTTGCAGTTTTCTCAGAAACTCAGCTTTTCATTGAAGATGCTGGAAATTTTAGCACAGTGTTTGATAAGGCATTATCCGCGTGTCAGACACTGTCTGTCTGTGCCATACATAAACAAGCATTCGGAGAGTATTGCATAATCAATACATGTCCCCTGCCGGGTTCCCCTTTTTGAAACTGAGTTTTTCTTCAGGATGTCATTTAATAATTTGCAAAAGTTATGTCCAAGGTAAAACTGCTTGATTTTGAGGTTGTGGATGCCTTAAACCTAATAAAATAATCCACATTAAGACAAAAATTCAACTCAGTTTTCCAACGTCTTTTTCTTGCTTCATATTTACGTATGTCGACCATCGGAAGTTAGCGCAGCATGAACCTGATCTCAATTAAACGAATGTGAAAAATTCAAAATGCCATTATTCTGTCAAAAACCAATGAAGTGATGCGAAATTCAAACTTGATCTGTAACTCATCAAGATACACCCACACACCAAAATTCAGCTCAATATCTGCAAGCATTTAGAAAAAAGTGCGGAAAACCAAGTGGGACACACTGGCAGACAGACGTAGACAGACAGACGGACGAACAGGTAGACAGACGGACAGACGCAGGGGAAACCTATAGTCCCCTCCGATTTCACCGGTAGGGGACTAAAACAATTTGTTGAAGTTTTCCCAGCAGAGATAAGCGTCTTTCATACACATTAAGAATGACACTCAAAATTCATAATGTATTTTAAAGATTTTGTGATTTTGTTCTTCCTTATAAAGGCACAGGGTTAAAATAAGTATTAAGGAAAGTGCAGTTATGCAGATGGAAAGCATATAATTTCAAACAACCATGCTCTTATTAGGTCCAAAACACTGTCTGTGGGGGCTAATTGCCCATGGGAGTGAACTCCCTATAAGCTTTTGAAATTCAATCAACAGAGAACCTCATTTTGACTCAAAGTGAGAAAAATATAATTATCTGAAATAGTTTTCTGGGGGGGGGGATTGTTAAAGTGAGGGGGACGGCCAATAAAATACCAGATCCTCCTCCAATATGCTAAAAAAGGGGGGCTTGATGTATTTGTATTCATATTTTTTTCAAGTTAAATAACTTTTTTTTTATCTAAAACTACTCAGTATTTGGAAAGCTTCTAAAAATATTTTCCAGAACATAAAGTCGGTAATAAATGGAATACTGAGATGCCTTCATAAAATATGACAGAATCAAATAGGGGCCTATAATATTTTTCTTTCTCAGCTATAATTTGGGCACAAAAATCCTAGTTTATATACAATGTATATGATTTCAAAAATGACCATTTTTACAAATCCCCAATTTCTGCATATACGTGAATGGTTCTCCTCTCTGCTGAAAATTGCCATATTCCCTAAAAACCTTAATGTATTACTTCATTATACATTGTTTCAGTAAAGTGCACACATTGTAGTTTAAATTTGGCTTAAATTCAACTGTGACAGTGTTTGCTATGACAAAAAATCTAAATAATAATAAAAAAAAATTTTTTAATGCAATAAAATAATCTGATATTAATTTAATTTTTGCAATAATTTCAAATTCGAATAAAAAGGATTCATCCACGATCATCGATACCCATTCAAAAAAAAATTGCATCAACAAATTTCAGCCCTGCACAAATTGAAATCTAAAAGAAAATTGCAGACTTGTCCCGTGTTCAGTTTAGCGATGTGATTTCATAAGCTCAACTTGTAAATTAAAAAAAAAAATAATTACCAGTAATTAAAAAAAAGATAAAAAATGAAATTAATTCTTTCAAAAATTGATGAAATACCTTGCATAGTAATAACTTTTTACCCCCCCCCCCCATCTCATATTTTTTTCAAGCACACAATTAAAAAGCTATTAGGAGGTATTTAGCTTTTGTCATAATTATACAGAATTGCTTTAGTTTAATTTGGTTTTTAAAATAACATATATGATTTTTATTGAGGCCAAGATGAAATTAAAGTCTGTTTGGAATTGCCTCCCACCTCATTGAAATGTCTGCTCCTGAAAAAATTTTATTGACTAAAAGTAGGAAGATATTTTTATTATTTAATCTTTTTTTTTTGGGGGGGGGGGGGCATTACATGTATCACATACACCATACAAAACACTGAAATATTGTGTCAGATCTATGTAAAATTAGGTTTTTTTAGTTGATTGTAGATACTTTTTATAAAAGTCAGAAAATGTAGTGACTGTTTACTGAGATTATTATCAAAAATTTAAAATTTACCTTCAATTAAAAAAAAATATTTCCCTCCCCCCTGTGTCTGAAACCCATAAGGTAGCAATTCAAAACAAACATTTTTTTAAGGATGTCCTGACAGATGGTTTATATAATTTTCATCAACATCTGATTTTAATCAGATTGATGATATGCCTTTACTATAAATTAGTGATATAATTAGAATCATGTCATTATTTATGCTTTGGGTGTTTTAAAGTTATATTTATAATAAATAGTCATGCCCTTTTATTAATAAACTCATGCATACAAAATATGTGCAACTTTCAATGTATGTGATAAATATTTCATTGGTACTTGCCTAGTGCTTCTTAATGCCATGTATATTTCTTCATCACAACATTATTTTTAGCGCTGAAGTCCATTTACTTACTTTGTTTTTAAACACTTTTTTCAATGATGCAGATCTTGTTGTCACATAGGCAGGAATTTCATAGGATGCTATCCATTTTTAAGTTTATCACATCTATACATAAACATGTATATTTCTCAGACACAGTAAAGCCTGAACAATCATTTAACTATGGGTAATGTTTAATACTTCACTGGTTGGATTAAAACCCCTGAAAAATCCAAAGCACACAGTATTTACCCCTCAAAGTCGCTTTCTGCTGTGTACTTTTACTTTCATTTTCATCGATTAAAGCAAAAGATTTCCGAAAAGGGAAATAACTCTTGACAAAAATGTGTGTCAATTTAGAGATTTTTACAAACTTCACAATCAATTTATTTTCTTAAAGTAAATATTACCTCTCCAGTTTTTTCATATGTTCTTCATAATTGTATAAAGTGAAATTCAGAGCATCAGAATATTCCACCAGTGCCTGCGTTTTTTGTGTACATTGTTATGTTCAACCCACCTTTTTAAAGGAAATTTATTGTGTTATTTGACATTTAACGGCAGGTCCAAAAATTTTTTTTCAAGTTTTTTGTATAGAAAATACAAATTACAAATTATTTCAAAGGAAAAAATAATAATAATCACCTTTATTTAATTAAATGTAAATTAATGGGAAGAAATATCATTTTAGGTATTTACCACCTATGTGCAAAAACAGGTAACCTGGTTGCCATGGAAACAAGACCAATTGATCACTTTTAATAATATTTTTGTAAACAGGACTTATAATGTAATTATTTCACCAAGTTTCAGCAAAATCCGTGATTTTCAATTTCCAGCCCATTTTGATGCTTACAGAGAATGACTCTTAAAATGTATTTCTTAGAAACGTGAATCATAACCCGTTGTTTTACAATGAACAGACAAATCTACTGGGTACACAAGTCTAGTGAACAAAAACTTTAAACAGTATGGATATAGTACATGCAAAACAAAAAATAAAATGTGAAAACAAACATTATTTATTCCACAATTATGTGCAAACTCATTAAACTGATTTCAATTGTTTATTTGAAAAACAAGAAAATATGAAAACTATTCGTAGTTTTGGATATGCACTGTGAAAAATAAAATGTATTCTTCTAAAGTAAAATAAAAAAGATGCATATTTGAAAAATACAGATGCTACAAGCAAAGAATACAATATGCTACCATGCTAAAATGAATTAACGCTGTTTTTTTAAACAAAGGAATGTTCGTTTCCCTGACAAATTTTTAACAATCTTTCTCGGTTACAAGGTAGGGACCCACCCATGGTCTTAGGAATTTGGCGCTTTTCCCTGGGGGTCATAACAGGTTTGTACAAATAAACAGTTTCCCCTATACCGAATTGTGGGTGATTAGCTTTTTCATTAGACGTTTTGGCCATTTTTCCGTTTTTCTTTCATTAAGTTTTTTTGACAAATTCTGCATAAACTGGGGTTAATATTTATACTTGAAGGTCATTATCAGGCACAAAATGAATATGAAATGATTTCAATTACAATATTTTAACAACATAGAAATAGAGGAAAAGACAGGAAAAACATAAAAACAGGCCAAAGATGTGTTTGTGAAACACTTTGCGCACGGCGGCAACAAAGTTTAATAAAAAACATACTTTTAGCATATAGGTCATAGTCAAGGTCACAAGGTCATTGATCTTGCTGTCATGTGAAAGGACTTAATTAGTGGAGTATGCATACCAAATATGATATCGCTATCTCCCATGGTTCAAAATTTATGGTTAAGGTTAAAAAAAGCTATCTTTAGCATATAGGACACAGTGTAGGTCACAAGGTCATTGACCTTGCTGTCATATGAAAGAGCTTAACTAGTGGAGTATGCATGCCAAATATTAAGTCTCTATCTTTCTTCGTTCAAAAGTTATGGCGAAGGTTAAAGTTTGCCAACAAAAAAGCTATATTTAGCTGATAGGTCACAATCAAGGTCAACAAGGTCATTGACCATGGTGTCATTTAAAAGAGCTTAACCAGTGGTGTATGCATACCAAATATGAAGTTTCTATCTTTTATGGTTCAAAAGTTACGGCAAAGGTTAAAGTTTGCAGAAAAAACTATTTTTAGCATATAGGTCACTGTCAAGGTCACAAGGTCATTGACCTTGGTGTCATTTGAAAGAACTTTATAAGTGGAGTATGCATACTAAATATAAAATCTCTTTCATTTATGGTTCAAAAGGTATGGCGAAGGTTAAAGTTTGCAGACAAACAGACAAACAGACAGATAGACAGGACAAAAACAATATACGCCTCGGATCTTTCGATCCGGGTGCATAAAAATTATAAAGCGATGTATAGTTCCTGAATAATAAAGATAACGACTAAGACATACAGACAAAATTATACCTTTTTATTACGTAATTCTATCGTAAAGCTTTGAACCCTCCTCATTCCGTAATTTGGTTCTTAAAATGATGAAATATTAAACTGATTTAAGCAGTGTGAATTGCAGATGATTGCAATATTAAGTGTTCTTTTATGCACTAGAATGAAGCAGACTTTTTAATCGCCTGTAAAAGTTTTTACTGTCAATAAATTTTTGTATTTAAAGATAATTACACTTTGGTGGTGCCATATCAAGTAATATTTTCATTTTGAACTATTTGACTTCGACCAAATTTCAGCACCAGATAAAGTTTTTGACTTAATCTTAAGATCTGTCATAATTTCAGGGTCAGGTTTAATAATCTTCCACAACGCATTTATAGTTCATTGGTCCATGTTTGCTCTGCTCCTATTTTGCATAGTTTTATAGACTATTGATATTGAATATTGTTTGTAATCTTCATACTGTCGCAGTAGGTGCTGGCACGGAAAAGATCCCTCCCAGAATCAATTGAGATACATAAATTCTGTATGCAGGTGATAAGGTTTATTGTTGCATAAGTAAGGAAGTTGACGAAAGAAAAGTTAAAGTCATCACGTTAAGCAGAGAGCTTGGTTGTTAGATTACCATTGACGTTTTTTTCAAGTAAAATATCCAAATATGAAACAGATGTGTCAGACTCTGTGGTATCTTTTTCTCAAGCTTTCTAGGACATATCGTATCGACATATGAATGAAAATTACCCTTGTTAATTGACAATACGTCGTCGATACCGGTATATCTAAATGTTCAGTTGAAGGCCACAATAAGTGTTTTCTTCTTTTCACGCATAAGATTTTGCACAGATTCTGCTTCATATTAATACAAATTATATCTTCTAATAACGGAGCGCAATTTGTACCCATGGGATTTGCAACAGATTGTTGGAAGACCTTGTCTCCAAACACTACATAGATATTGTCAATCAGAAACTCAAGCATCTTTTTAATGTCAACGTCAGAGTACTTGTGTGTGCAATCAGAATGTGTTTTACATGTAGCAAAATAATTTTGCAAATGACCAGGTAAGAAAGTTTACGAGTTCCATTTTTATTTAAAAAAAAAAAAGCAGCTGTCAATGATATCAAAAAGCATGGTGGGGAATGGTTGTTTATAAAGTTGAAAAGTTATACGTTTTTAAGCTGCTGATTTTGGTAAAACCTTGTGATTTCAAATTGTCCAAAAGTTCTTTTGAATTTTAGAGTATCCACATCTGATTCACGCCATTTCTTAAATATAATCTTGCACATCTTTAGTATGTCGTCAGCACGTACATACGAGGCGTACATCATTTCAATTTATTAGATACTCAAATTGTTTCGGCGAACAGTAAATGTTTTGGATGCCGTAAGCCCAACACGAGACTACCGAACTACATGTTACTCTTGATTAAGTTATTGATTGCTGATCCAAAAACACGCGATAAAAAGTGTTATTTGCTCTTACAATATGTAAAATCAAGGAATGTTTATGGTTTTAAATTAAAGTAAATATATTTCAAAGATTTGAAATTGTGGAAACTGACCTTTATTGGTCCGAATTAAAACATTTACCGGGTATAAAAGCCATTCTTCTATCATCTTGCAAATGTAATAAGACAAAATTTGAAAAGCAATTAGTAAAAGCGTTGTTTTGACTTACCTTGGGATCGTAAATCACTAATTTGAAATGAGCATGGCTTCTCAAATAAAGACAAACATAATATTAAACATGTTAATCATTAGAAAGAAGTTAAGACATAAAATAACAAGGGAGCATCCCTTCGAATTCGAATAAGAGTATATTATATGCAGGGTTATTTTCGCCTAATTTCAATATCGCCCTTTCAAACTTGCGAACAATTTTCCCTCACTTTAATTATTTAGTCAGAGTTTTTTTAGGAAATTATATTTTTTGTTGGAATCTGCCCCGATTTAAATTCGTCTAGTTGCGTCTACGGCGAAAATAAAACGGAGGTGAAAGTTTCTCTGTATTTAGTATCAATCAATGCAGCATTTGCAAACTCACAAGCGTGTAACTACTTCCCAATCAACTCCGCTGCAAGGGAAATAATTGTCTATTTCTGTTTTTATGATGTTTTTTTGAATTTAAAATTTTAATTTTTTTAATACTTGCATTTAATTTTGTACATGTAACTTACATCACATTGCTCTTGTAGTTTATTTTCCATGCACTTCTCCGACTCACTCGATTTACACTGAAATGTAAAAATAATTGATTGGCAAAAGCAAATTTGCATTTGTAGAAAGTGCTTTAAATGAAGAATATGGAGATAACGAACAGTATTCAACATCAAAGTCTATAACACATAACAACATAGGAGCAGAGCAAACACAGATCCCTAAAACATAAGAGGTGGGATCAGGTGCCATAGAGGAGTGAGCACCCCCTGTCGAACAGTCTCATCCGCCGTATACTCCTTGTCATTATCGAGAAATAACGGAAAAGTCCGTCATCAATTCAGTGTATAAATGATGGACTCACAATTAGTATAAAAAAGTCTGTCAGCATTTGACTCAATGATAAATTGTATTTGCTGGCAAAGTCATTGTATCGACCATAGAACTGACGAAATGATAACTTTAAACGAGACTGATGATATTCTTGTTTCATCAACTTGTTTGTCAATAATTTACCTCGTTTTAGAAATTGTTCATACGCAGAGCATGCTCTTGCGTATCGAATAAACTGAGATATATAAACTCCGTATGCAGGTGATGAAGGTATATTGCTGAACAAGTAAGGAAAGTTGATGATAGAAAAGTTCAAGTTATCACGTTTATCATAGAGCTTGGTTGTTAGATAACCATAAACATCTTTTTCAAGTAAAATATCCAAGTATGAAAAAGAGTGTCAGACTCTTTGGTATCTTTTATCTAAAGAATACCAGAATATATCGTATCGACGTAGGAACGGAAATTACCTTTGTTAATTGACAATACGTCGTCGATATATCTAAATGTCGAGTTGAAACACAATCATCTTAAGAGGTCAACTATTCTTGTCTTTCCACAAAGGGAGATGTTCTTATTCTTTCTAACTTGTTCTTACAGATAAATGCCCCTGCGAAATGATATTCATGATTTTAAGAACCTTTATGAGTTGTTCATAATTGTTCATGAATGGTTCTTAAAGGATTCTTAACAGGTTCATAAAAGTAGTTCATGAATAAAATTCATGAAAACATTCATAATTCATAGTTCATGAACAAATGATGAACAAATATGAATATTGGTAATTTTCAGTTTAAAGAAAAAAAACTTAATAGTTCAAGGTAAGGCCAAAAGAAAAAATACTCTTGTTTCCTGTCCCCTGACCAAAAAAATTAGGGTAGGTAGGTAGGGAAAAAATTTTATTTTGAGAAAAAAATTTATTTCCAAAACTCAATGAATGCAAAACATGTAATAACAAGAAACCAATATGTTAACAGTTTACAGAGCAAGTTTCTTTATAAAGTAAAGGTATCCTGTACATTTGTGATGTATTAGTTCTTTGAATATTGTTGGTCGACTTTAGCATTTCAGGAATATAGTCACCCAAAAAATCAAAATGTGATAAAAACTTTTAGGGTCAGAGGGTAAAATGTAGGGTAGGTCAGGTGACAGGAAACAAGAGTATTTTTTATTTTGGCCTAATGAATGTTCATGAATTTTCATGAAGACTAAAAATGTAAAAATAATTGTCACAAACGATCGCCAGAAAACACTAATAACTCCCATAATACAATTTTTGCATGTAGATGCAATCGTTAAACAAGCCCCTGATTTAATTAATAACATGCTTTTGTTTTGATTTTGAAAGTATGGGATCAGAGCTGAGTAGGGGAACATACGAGGTTAAAATCACTATTTTCTACTCAATGTAATTGATAACTTAGATTCTTCAGGATAATAAAACTTTGTTATGAACTGTCTAGAAGGGAGATTATAATTAAATTATGATCGTAATTTAAAGAACACTGCATCAATATTGACAGCATTTTTTTCTCATATTGAATTACTTATGTTTCTTCATCATTTAAATTGGCCAGCTATATTAATATTGTGCTTTAAATTATCTCATTTTTCACGACACAACTTTGTTCGACTGAATTTTCTCTATTTGTCAAACTTTTAACAAGTTGTAAGAAAATGAAACAGACTTTCAGTCTAGGAAAAATTTCATTGTCTTCGTAAAAACGTATCATAAATTTATTGACAACTAAAAAATTATATCTCTTGTCCGTACTGTACCGTACCATTCTTGGATCGAAAAGCTTTATATTTTGATGCAGTTATAAAGTCACATTTTTCTGTCCATCGTGTGTAAATGATACAGCACAGGCTGCATGGTTGTGAAGAAGCTATGACATGAACCACATTCGTATTTTGTAGTCTATTCTCCTAATAGCGAGCGCAGCGAGGCGGCGCGAAGCGCCACTCGCGTAGCGAGCTCAATAGACTAACGTGTACGAACAGAGGAAATTCAGGTTGAAATCTGCACATTGTTCCAAGAAATTTTTATGAGTCCACGTGAAAAAATTCCAAACTCCCAATAATCCTTTGCGGTGCATAGCAACATGGTGGCTAAAACATAGCAACAACGTACTTGAAAAAAATTACAAACAATGATTTAATGCAATCTCCATGCCACAAAAGGATCGTTTGCGTCTGTAGCTAGTCCTAAGTCAACAGGACTTTCTATCTGACGTCATACTTTCGTCACTTTAACGGTTCGGGTATTTCCGATTTTGTCGGAAACTTCCGAGAAGTTAGGAATCTCGATCCCGATGCTCGGAAAGTGATTTCTTTTTATTGTTTTGTTTTCTTTTTTTGATCAGGCAGAACATGTGTAGGTTTATGATAGTACATAACTGCGCTCGCCCCAACGGTCACATCGTAAAACATATTACACTTTCATAGCTCAGGGTACTCAGTTTGAGGGCGAGTGGTTCCAAGAGATATTTGTTGTCCTCTGATAGCAATGGAGGCGGCCATACTTGAATACGAAACTAAGGCTAAACGGGTATAATGTAAAAAAATCCAATTCAATAAATGATATAACTTATATTAATTTAAAAAATTAATTTCAGTGAAAAATCATTCAGATAGTGTTTGTTATTTTTTGTTTAACAAAAATCTTGGCAATTCGAAACTATTTCTTAATTAGCTCTGCATGACACTTTTTAAAAGGCGCAAACTTTGAAACGCACGAGACGTTGGAAAGTGAATCGGTAGAGTGGTAGGATTATTAGCGTAGTCATTCATTGTCAATCTTTGAAGAAAATAACAGAATACGAAGAATGAATATCCAGAGGATAAATTTACTTCATAACTGCAGATATTAGTGGTGAGTTACAAAACAAGAGGCCCATGGGCCACATCGCTCACCTGAGAAGCTTTGACCATTCTGTTCTTTACCAGATTTCCCCCTTGTTATACATAATGCATCCCCAACCTACCCCACTGATCATAATTTAGACATTTTGAAATCTACACTACCCCATGATCCTTCCATGAATGGGCACATATGTTTCAGCTTTTTTGGCCCAGAGGTTCCTGAGAAGAATATTTTTAAAGATTTTTCCTATATATTTCTATGTAAAACTTTGATTCCCTATAATGGCCCCGCCCTTCCCCCGGGGGTCATGATTTCTACAATTTAGAATTTACACTTCCCCAGAATGCTTCCACATAAGCTTCACTTTTTCTGGCCCATTAGTTCGTGAGAAGAAGATTTTCACAGATTTTTCCTATATTTTTCTATATAAGACTTTGATTCCCCATTGTGGCCCCGCCCTTCCCCCGGGGGTCATTATTTGAACAATTTGGAATCTACATTATACCAGGATGCTTCCACATAAGTTTCAGCTTTTCTGGCCCAGTGGTTCTTGAGAAGAAGATTTTCAAAGATTTTTCCTATATATTTCTATGTAAAACTTTGATTCCCCATTGTGACCCCGCCCTTCCCCTGGGGGTCATTATTTGAACAATTCAGAATCTACACTATACCAGGATGCTTCCACATAAGTTTCAGCTTTTCTGGCCCAGTGGTTCTTGAGAAGAAGATTTTAAAAGATTTTTCCTATATATTTCTAAATAAAACTTTGATACCCAATTGTGGCCCCGCCCTTCCCCCGGGGGTCATGATTTGAACAATTTAGAATCTACACTATACCAGGATGCTTCCACATAAGTTTCAGCTTTTCTGGCCCAGTGGTTCTTGAGAAGAAGATTTTCAAAGATTTTCCCTATATATTTCTATATAAAACTTTGATTCCCCATTGTGGCCCCGCCCTTCCCCCGGGGGTCATGATTTGAACAATTTAGATTCTACACTACCCCAGGATGCTTTCACATAAGTTTCAGCTTTACTGGCCCAGTGGTTCTTGAGAAGAAGATTTTTTAGTGACCCAACCCTATTTTTGTCTTTTCTTGATTATCTCCCCTTGCGAGGGGATATGTCCCTTCATTTTAACAATTTAAATTTTCGTTCACCCAAGAATTTTTTGTACCAAGTTTGGTCAAAATTGGCCCAGTGGTTCTTGAGAAGAAGTCGAAAATGTGAAAAGTTTACAGACGGACAGACGGACAGACGGACGGACGACGGACAAAATGTGATCAGAAAAGCTCACTTGAGCCTTCGGCTCAGGTGAGCTAAAAATGGAAGCAATTGCTGAATCTATGAGATATTTGTCAAGATG